CAAAATACTTTAACATGCAAAAAGTATGGCATTGATTATAAAATCTTAATGACACATACAAAATACAAAATCGAACGAAATCACACCATAAGGTAGTATGATATTAAAAATATGAAGTTAGTAACCCAAAAAGAGAAACATATTTGCATTTATTGGGAAAAATGACTCAAACACAATTAATATACAAGACTTCTTTTTAATTAAAAGAATCAATATGCAATTGGAAAAGTGATGTGAAAACAATTAATATTCAAAGAAAGTGTTAGCATCGTTCGTTTCTTAGGAAAATAATAGGGTTTTTTATTTTAATTTTATATAAAACTACAATTACTTTGTAATTAATTTTCAGACTGCCCCATTTAGGTAAATACTTTTTCAAATTACTATGGTTATGTAAAAAACTCGGGCATTATTATGTTTTTTCTCCCAAGGCATTAAAAACCTAACCTATGGACCGAGTTACTAAAATACCCACCTTCATAAGTTCATATCATTAAATATACCAGATGAGGCGCGTGTCGGCCGTGCATGGGGGTCCATTTTCCCGAATCCATCTAAATTTAGAGGAGAAACAATGGCAGCTGCAAATCTTTCGCCATCTAAAATCACAGAAATTATTCATCTAAAAATAGACAAAAAAGTATGAAACTTTACAAAAAACAGCTCTGCCTCTCAGATTTTGTTGTGGTGAACAAAATTACACGATTTTATTCAATCCTGTTCGTCATTCGGAAATGGATTTCATATGAATCTTCATTCAGAAATAGGAATAGAGAATTGAGATTTGTTAATCGATAGGTAATTACTTATTGTTTTTGTTTCAGATTACATGCTAGCTTTGATCATCAATGTGATTCGGATTTTGTGTTTACAGTGGATTTGGCGCCATAACTGCTGATTTGTTGGATTTATCCGAGTTTTCAGAAAAAAAAAAAAAAAAAACAATCTCGAGGGACATTGTAATAAGCTTCTGGATTTAACTCCGGGGATTTTCAGGTATCCTATATACATGTAATGTTATTGTTAGTTTGATGATTTTAGGTTTAATTGGCAAACGGTGAAAATTCGGTTGTTCGATGATGATGAGGGAAAATTGAAGCCTGGAAGTAATCGATTTTCATTATTGGTTTTATTTAGGGATTATGCTTTTGTATTTTGGTTAATTCAACTTCATCAATTTGCTTGTTTGACCTAATTCTGATATGAAAACTTGGGGATGGTGTTAAATGTCAATTTCTGTGATTAACGAATTACAGATACCCGGGTGACTCTGCTTCTTGATCTTTTCTGGAATGGATGAAGAGAGAGCTCGGGAAGATTATCAATTTGGTTCTGTTGATAAGCGTCTCCAAGAAATCGCCGATCAATCCTCTTCTGGTGAGGATACATTCCTCAGTCCAGATTCATCTTCAGGACGTATGAAGGCTGAATATATTGAACATCTTAATGACGTTTCTCCAGGAAACAGTTATGCTTCATCTCCAAAAGCAATCAATTATGGTTCATCTCCTCCAAAAGCAAACAATTATGGTTCATCCCCTCCAAAAGCAAACAATTATGGTTCATCATCTCCAAAAGGAGGAGACGTTTATGGTTCATCTTTAAAAGCAAACAATTATGGTTCATCATCTCCAAAACCAAACCATTATGCTTCATCTCCAAAAGGAAGCAATTATGCTTCGTCATCTTCAAAAGCAAACAATTATGGTTCATCTCCAAAAGGGAACAATCATGGATCATCTCCAAAAGCAAACAAGGGTGGTTCTGGTTCATCTCCAAAAGCAAACAAGGATGGTTCAAATAAACAGCTTGATCAACCTGATTCAAAAGCTGGTCAAGTTGCTGCTCATATCGATAGGGAGAAGCCCTTTGAATCCGTTAAAGAAGCCGTTTCCATGTTCGGGGTGATTGTTGATTGGAAAGCTCACAGAGCTCAGACAAACGAGGTATATTCCATTCCATTATTTTATGAATGATACACCAAGTCTTGTTCTAATTTTAATATGTGCAAGTTATTTTTTGTGTTAAATGATGCAGAGACGGATATACATAGAACAAGAACTGGAAAAGGCGCGTCAGGAAATTCCGGCGTTCAAGAAAAAATCTGAGGAAGCCGAAAAGGCAAAAGATCAAGCATTAAGAGAACTCGACTGCACAAAAAGGCTGATAGAAGAACTGAAATTAAACCTAGAAAGAGCACAAACGGAAGAACGTCAAGCAAAACAAGATTCCGAACTCGCCCAACTCCGAGTCACAGAAATGGAACAAGGATACACCGACGAGTCATGCGTCGCCGCCAAGACCCAACTCGAAGTCGCCAAAGCCCGCCACCAAGCCGCCGCTGCAGACCTCATAAAAGCCAGAAATGACTTATCAGAAATCCGTAGAGACTTCGCCGTTTTGATAACTGAACGAGACGTCGCCATTCACAAAGCTCAGGAATTAGTGTCGGCGGCTAAAGAAGCCGAGAGATCTGTAGAGGATTTAACGATTCAACTCATAACAACAAAAGAAGCAATCGAATCCACACACGCTTCACATTTAGAAGCCGAAGAACACAGATACGCAGAAGCCATGTCACATGACCAAGACGACTTAAATTGGGACAAAGAATTCAAACGCTCAGAAGAAGAATTAGAAAAAGTCCAACAACAAATTGTATTAGCCAAAGATCTCAAAACAAAACTCGAAAGCTCTTCGGTTTTACTATATAAGTTAAAAGAAGAGTTAGCGGTTTACATGCAAGGGAATAATTCCCCGGGGGAATTCAATTCCGATTCCAATTCCAATTCCGATTCCAGTTTCACTCGTATCGATATCCAATCCGGTATAGCACTAGCCAAAAAGAACCTCGAAGAAGTCAACCAAAACATCGAGAAAACGAAAGAAGAAATCATGGATTTGAAAAATGCCACGGATTCATTAACCGCAGAACTAGAAACCGAAAAGGCGACTTTAACAAAAGTCCGGAAGCAAAAAGGGTTAGGGGCAGGGGCAGTTTCGTCTTTAGAATCCGAATTAAAACGAACAAGAACCGAACTCGAAGAAATTCGAAAAAAGGAAAAAGAAACCCAGGAAAAGCTGACCGAACTCCCGAAACAACTCAAAAAGGTTACCGAAGACGCCGAACGCGCCAAATCGCTGACCGAAGGTGCCCGGAGGGTTTTGAAAAAAGCAAAAGAATCGACCGACCAAACGAAATCGGAAGCAAACACGATGTCGACAAAGCTCACCGCTGCCCAAAAGGAAATCGAAGCTGCCCGAGCCGCGGAGAAGTTAGCGTTAGGCGCGATTAGCGCGCTTCAAGAAAGCGAATCTTCCCGCGCGCTTAAATTTGATGACCAAAAAGACGGTGTGACAATTACATTAGAAGAATATTATAGTTTAAGTAAAAAAGGACACGATGCGGAAGAGGCGGCGGATAAACGGGTGGCGGATGCCATGGCGCAGATTGAGGAAGCTAAGGATTCCGAAACGCAAAGTTTGAATAAACTCACGCAATTGAATTCGGAATTGGCGTCCCGGAAAGAGGCTTTGAATGTGGCTTTGGAAAAGGCGGAATTGGCCAAGGAATCGAAGTTGAATATTGAAGAGGAGCTTAAGAAACGAAAGGGAGAAACCGAACAAAAAGCAAAAAAGGAGACAAGTCATGGCGGGTTTTTTCGCGGGTCGAAAGACAAAGACAAGGACAAAGACAAAGACAAAGAGAATGGGAATCCGGATCCCAATTCCGCTTCCGGTTCGACTTCAAATTTGAATTTGAAGTTGAATGTTAATATTGCTTCCTCTCTTAAATCGCGGTTTGGGGCAAAGAGAGGGGAAAATAAGGATAATAAAAGTAAAGATAGTAAAAGTAAGGAAAGTACATCAGCAACAACAACAACACCAGCAGACCCCAACTCCACCGCCACCGCCACCGCCACCACAACCTCCACCACCACCTCAAGCTCCATCAACCTATTCAAATGGGGTAAGGCGGAAAGGGAAAAAAGAAAAGAAAATAAGGAAAATAAGGATAACAAGGACAACAAGGACAGTACGGAAAGTGCAACAGCAACAGACTCCAATACCAATACCAATACCAATACAAACTCTAACTCCAGCTCCATGAACCCATTCAAATGGGGTAAGGGAGAAAATAAGGAAAATAAAAGCAAGGAAAACAAAGAAGGTAAAGAAGGTACGGAAGGTACAGCAGCAGCAACAACAACAGAATCCAATTCCAACTCCAACTCCATGAACCCTTTCAAATGGGGTAAGGGGGAAAGTAAGGAAAATAAAAACAAAGAAAGTAAAGAGGGTAAGGAAGGTAAGGAAGGTGCGGAAAGTACATCAACAACAGCAACAACGGAATCCAATTCCAACTCCAACTCCATGAACCCATTCAAATGGGGTAAGGGGGAAAGTAAGGAAAATAAAAACAAAGAAAGTAAGGAGGGGAAGGAAGGTGCCGAAAGTACATCAACAACAACGGAATCCAATTCCAACTCCATGAACCCATTCAAATGGGGTAAAGGTGAAAATAAAAGCAAGGGAAGTAAGGAAACCAAGGAAAGTAAGGAAACCAAAGAAAGTACGGAAAACATAAGTGAGTCAGGTGGTGACACGTCACCCGATGGTCCAGGTTCAAAGAAGAAGAAAAAGGCAGCTATGCCCAAATTTTTTATGTTTATGGGGAATAATAAGAATCCTAAAAATTTACCGCAAAAGAATTCATAAGTCTTTGAAGTGGAGAGTTAGTTTGTTCATTTTTAGAAAGTGTAATGTAAATGACTTACCTTTGTCCATTATGTTTGTATCATAACATTCGTTATATTGCTAGTTTTAAATGATTTGAAAATACATCAACAAAAGTAGTAGGAGAATACTTTATTCTAAATGTTTACAAGTTCAATTGGATTATATTTTGTCAACGAGCTCACACACTTATATGAGGTGACATGGTGAGATTTGATATAAAACCACCAACCATTATCAAAGACATTTTGAAGCTCCAAATTCAGAGCTATTTTATATCATTGATAACCATTACATTGTATTTTGGTAACTTGTGATACGATTATGATCTAAAAGGTAGGAGGGTGCAATAAGTTTCTATATATGCTGAAAGGCCAAAATGACCAAAATAGATTACAGCTACAGCTTTTGAGGACAAACTAGAAGACAACTTCAAACTTCAAATCCAACCCTGAATCCCTTAACGGCTTTGAAAAATAACAAATGAATTCGAGAAAGTCATGGATGATGCAGAAAATTTTCCCCTGTACTGTCAAATTTCCATTATTGACCTCCAAAAAAACCTTTTTAACCTGCAATACCATCAAAATCCAACATTTCAGATATATTAGCATACTGTCATCTCATGTCCTGTGTAACAAATGGGCCCACATTGGTTAATGAGATAGATGGTTTTACCGATTACAAACTGTCTGTTATGCGCTTCGTTCAATATTTTTTCCATGAAGTGGGACCCCGGGCCCATATATCAATCGACAACGGTCATTAAATGAACCAACTAGTCGAGACACCACTTCTTTAAAAAACATGGACGCCATCTATTATTGTACATCACAATTCACAACCACAAATCATTATAATAAAAAAAAAAAATCATATATTTCAACCAAAGCAATATTAAAATGATAAATGATGCTTACCTGTGAGTATAAGGGTGACTGGAACTTAAAATCCACAAAGAAATGAAGGTCACATGTTCCTGGAATGGGTCCCGGATTGAACTCCCATATGTTTATTAAATGATCAAAAAGGCTGCTTTGTGATGAAGTCGTCTGTAATCAAACAAAAACAATCACACACCAAATTGCATCAGTGTTTGACTAAATATAGAAAGAACGACTTAATAAAGAAAGTGAAAGTGAAGTACATGACTTGATTCTAACATAATACATGTGCTAAGCTTATAAACATTACCTTTATCATTTTGGGCTTTACCAATTGCACATGAGACACATAGCTTTCAACAAGAAATTTGAAACCAATCTCCAATTCAGCATCAAAAGCTGAGTCTGAATGACGTTGAACTATATCAGATCTCTTACACCATGGAAGAAAATCTTGATACATGTCAACAGCAGCAACCACTGCAAACAGCTGCTCTGGAGAATACCTGAAACAAAAAAAGTTCTATTAACTCATTCAAATAATCAAGAAAGAAAGAAAAAGTAACATCAGAAATTACCCCATAATACGTTTCTCTTCATGAACTTTTGAAAGTACATTACTTCCTTCATCTCCATCACCACAGCCAAGAAATCCCCTTCTTTGAATAACAACACCAGAAGACATATTTTGTAACAGGGGAGTATGTTTATCCTTATGAATACTACTAACTATTTGACAGGAAGATGGAAATGTTTCTACATTTCCAATGCTACTGCGAAAACACCGACTTTGAACGTGATTTTCCACTTCAGGGTTGTTTTGTAAACATCTAATTAACTGTTTGACACCATTTTTGCGTGTAATCAACTGCCCCACTGCCTTTGAAGTTGAACCTAACGATGGCATGGCAATAAAGCAGCAACACAGAACAGCTGTACAACAAAACAATAGTTATCATATCCATGTAATGAGGTGTAACATCCAGTATCAATCACAAAGACACCATTGTTTTGATTCCTTCAAAGAAGCAGGGATAAGAATTTCTGGAGAACACAGATGCAGAAGCATACTTATGGACGGGATATATCATATATGTATCAGTATCTCCCTAAACAAAACACATAAATTAATCTTATCGTTTCAGAGAAAAGATAAATCGTTTTGGCAACGTGGATATTGTCATCAAGTAAGATTATCAAACGGATGAGCAGACAAGTAACAGAATCGAAGATTACCAACTAGTTAGTCCCTAACATTTTCATTTGTTTGCCCTAATAGCAATCGACTCTCGGGTTTGGTTTTACGTTACATGAGTAAAATATAAGAGGTGTGGTACAATAAAGATGGATTAAATTACGAGAAATAAATAGTAGTGGTACCTTCAAATCGGATGATAAAATAAGCGCGTTTGGATCCGTAAGAATTTGCAGTGAGAATGGAGAGAGCCGAAAGGCTAGTAGTAATCACGTATGAATTCAAGGGAGATTCGACCGATTAGGGCGGCGTTCCTAACCAATTTCACTTATTTCATCGGAGAAGAAAGCGTTTGGAGGCGGTGATGGAAAAAAAAACGGCAGTCTGTAAGGGAGGTGGGGGTGGGTTGACGGTGTTGGAATGCGTTCTCATTTGTTAAAATCCAGAATATGAGTATGCCTATGCGGTGGTTCATACGATTTTTTTTTACTTTTTTTTTAATCTTATTTTAAACAAAAGTCCAAAACAATTAATTTTTTATTATTTAGATATATTCATTAATTTGGTTGACCATGACCAACAAATAATTGTTGGGTTTCCAAAATTATCATAGTATCTATTAAAATAAAATAAAATAAAATAAAATAAAATATTTTTATAGGTTTAAGTTTAACTTATAAAAATATCGACTTTAAATAAAAAAAAATACAAAAATAATTATTAAGAAAACATAGGTGAATAGCAATTTCACATGTATAACCTTTAAAAATCATTGGTTTTTATCAAAAACAAAAGTTATGACAATAATATTTATTTATGTACTTAAGAAAATACAAAATCACAGGTTGTAAAAAAGCCAACAGAAAAAATTAAAAAAATTATATATATATATATATATATATATATATATATATATATATATATATATATATATAAACAGTTATTCGTATATCGTACTTGCAAAAATCATATGTTTCTTTGAAAAAATATGTTTTAATTTTCTTAACATAAGAATCTCCAAAGACCATAAAAAAGGATATTTTAGATTAAATAAAAAAGAAAAATTGAAAAGACTGTCTTTGTAAATGAATAGCCCATTTTGACGGGCCAAAAGTCCCTTTTGGTAATAAGGGCCTGCAAATTAAAATATAGGAAAAGGCTTATTGTTTTGCTAGAATTTGAAAAAAAATTAGTTATTTTTGTTAGATTTGTCATGTTTTTTTTAGTTTTAATTAATATCGACATTTGGTCAAGCTAGGTTAGGTTATGTTGGGTTCGAGTTTAACCTGTTTTGTTAAACGTGTTCAAATTTTAATAAAATTTAACCTATTTAATCAACTGGATATGTATTGGGTTAATATGGTTAAGGTTCTAAATAATGTTAGACGTGATTTGACGGCAATGTTAAGCCTCAAGTTTTTACGAGTCATGTTGTTGTAAGACATGACTTGACGCGATAATTTTGTATATAATTAATTATATAATATATATTTTCTACTATAATTTTTTTATATACATATATGACTTAATATATTACTTAAGGCGACATTTTGTTAAAGCGTGGAAGCATGTACAAGTCTTGGAGCTATGACGCGCCATGACGAAGTCATAACAAAATTTTTAAAACCTTGGATATGAATAATATTTTCCAATCTTTACTTATATAAAAAAACCGTTTGAACTCAGGTTGATAACATTTAAATTTTTTAATTTAAACAAAGCTTATCAATATTTAATCTTTAAACAACTCTACTTGTATTTTCGATATGAATTTTATCTTGATTTATGCTCCTTCGAATTCCAAAAAAAATATTGCCCAATATACATTGATCAACATATTTCTATAGATTTAGGCATATGCATACATCAACTTACAATGGTGAATGATTTTAGAGAAAATGACATTGTACCCTACAAACTTTCATATATTGTTTTAAAAGATCTTTTATATTTTTTTTAGTCTAGGAATATAAAGTCAAATGTTACTTACTAATAAGAGACATGAGGTTCTAATAGTGGACTTGTAATAGGTGGTGTCCATTGAGATACCAACATTACCACTGACTCACAGCCCAACACACTTTTGGTGTCTTGTCAAAAGATTAATCGTACCAAAAATTTCAAGAATCATTATTTTTTTTCCTTCAATTGCTAAGCTAGTGCCAACTACTAAGACAAACGAAGCCACAATAGTTTGAAAAAAACGACCAAGCGCCAACTACAAAGACAAATAAAAGCCCCACTTCAATATTGTTTTTCACGAAATACCCGAGTATGTGCTCAAAATTTCTTCTCTACTTCCTTCTAGACGTTTCATTTTTTCTCCTCACCAAAATTTCTCTTTCAGAGAATTCCAAATATAATAATGTAAGTTTGAATCCTTCAATTTGGTTTCTTCAACGTGTGTACACGTTGGAACACAATCAAACTTAGCATGATTTCAATTTGAATCCTCCACAATCACAGGTTCTTCTTATATACATAAAGAGGGTTGTAACGAATCAAAACAGTCATAATACAAGTACCCCATTTGGGGATTTTAGTGAATTCTTGGACTAAGTTGGATTCTTAAACTGTATTCAACATTGGGGTATGTTCTCTTTCAACTTCCGAAACATGTAATCAGATTGATTCCTTCAGTTGTCACTAAATATTCCTCTCTCTGCAGTTAAATTCTGAAAGTTGATCTTTAATTCTAGTAAACGACACAAAAGAGTCAAATTAAATCAATGGAACTAGTTCCGACAACAGGAAACGATTCATCAAAGTCGACATGAGTTAAGAAGGTGTAGTATACATGATTTTAGGTTTTGTTCTTGAGGTTTAGATTAAACATGTGTTACAAGGGAGAAGTGATGGTGTGAGCTTTGTTTTACATATAGAGGTGGGGAGGACGAGAGGTTTTCTTCTTGATAAAATGTCACGTTAGCAAAGATATCGGCTTACCCTTCATTATGTCGATAATGGTTTTTTTAACACGTAAAATCGGACTTTAAGCCCCTAAACTACTAAAAAAAACGATAAGCGACTTTTTAAAATAAAAGATAAAATTTGTAGGTTATTTTCCTTTTATTTTATATTCATTGCATATAACAAAAATTAAAAGTTAAAAGTTATACTACATAAGTATAAATTTAAAATTTATATTATGTTTAAACGGATGATCAGGTTGAAATGAAGTTGGTAGTTTCGAACGTAACATCATTACATTTTCAATTAAACGTGTTACATAGTTGGAATTTTCAACATTACATTTTCAGTTACATACTTGATACTTGGAGAGTTTAGTTACCTACAACCGAAACTCCTTATTTCGGGTTGGGTTGGTGGGTCGATATCCAATAGAAAACGGGCCGGTCCCGTCAGATGGAGTCATGGAGATTGGTTTCGAGCTAGAGTCGGATACCCGGATGACCCCTACCCATTACCCAACCTTGCCGACTACAAAATCATTCAGTTTGAACAGAACCGATATCAACTCGTTTCCAAATCGATTTTGTTACCCCTATTCCAAGCCGATATCTGTATCGTGTTTCTTGCTTCCTGGAATCGCTGCTCATCACCTCGCCTAAGGTTGTTTCTGATTCTCTTTTCCTTTAGCATATGTTAGCTCTGTTGTTTTCATGTAATGTAATAGCAAGTAACTCAAAAAAAAAAAAAAAAAATTCTTATGCGCAACATGAAGCTAAGATAACTGTATTTATTCCTAGAGATCAATTCGAAAACACTTCTGTTGGTTAATTGAAGATATGTGGTAAATTCCTTTAACAAAATCAATCACAAGTCCAATTTCGTCTGATCTTCTATGTTTTTGTGTTCATTGAAGATGATATATGTATGATTCTAGTTTAGAATCCAATGTATGACATATCTTCGGTTAAGCATGTATATTGGGGGAGAGAATGGGATTCCACAGACCACATCCTCCCCCAATCGTATGAATTTATAATGCCCCTTTTTACAGTATAACAAATGGATAATTTTACCCTTTCAACAAAGAGTTCCTTGATTTTCTTATCTTAATTCGATCAGAGCTTGAGGTTGAATTAGGATCTTAATTTATCCAATATTAAACATTTTTACAGGCTGCAGTGTTCTTTATACACAAAAAATTTGCAATAGAAAATCATATACTATGTTCCCAAAAAGTTAATCACTCAGTTAACTGACTATCCACTATCATTTTGTGGACATTCAGTTGTTGTTTGATATCTGATGTGAGTTTGGCGAATAATGTGTTAATATTGGTGATAAAAATACATTTTATAATGAACAATCTATATAAATTTTGCTATATTGTAAATAATTAACAAATAATTGAAACCTACATCCTTAGTTATCACATTTTTGTTCAATAAAAGCATATAAACTTCAGGTATCAGATAGTTTTGCATAAAGAAATCCCAATTTACATATCCATATTTTCCTGTTCTTATTTCATATTTCCCATTTTCATCTCTCATATTTAAGACTCACACATCCATAAGTGGAGCCATTTGTTACATTTTATGACCATCTTTTTACATCCAATCTTCATTTTTGCTAAATGGGATTTCATATAAATATCTATATTAGTGGGACCTACATCTCAACCTTTAGGCTGCCTCCATTACATGGGACATGACTAGACAATCTTTCCAGGGTTATTTTCAGTGATGAGGAGGGCATTCACGTCTTTTACAGAATCATGCTAAATCTTGATTGTTATATTATATAAGGTTATGGCTGGATTTGGGAATTTGGCACCTAAGACCAAGAATCTGGTTGTGGCTGGAGGATTGACTGGTTTTGTGTTTGGTGTGTATTTCTACACCATGAGAGCAGTTGGTGGATCAGATGAGCTTCAAGTTGCCATTGATAAGTATGAATCTGAAAAAGTCAAGCATGACCCCTAACTAACCCTCTCTCTATCCATGTTATGTAAAATTTTAACTTATTTCACACTCATCTTCTAGTGTTTTCATGGCATTTTGGTGTTGAAAACAAAATGAGTTGTGAATATAATGAAATGAAGCATGGGTTTTAAATAAAGACAAATTCTACCAGCACAGCTTAATTTGTTATAGTCGAATATTTTTAATAAAGTGTACATGCTTTGCAATTTTTCAATGTTGAACATGTGTGTATATTGGTTTTTCGTTGTTAAGAGGTTATTTCTTTTTTACTTAATGAAGTTAATGGGTTAAGCTTTTAGTATGGACATGTATACATGGTTGTTTCTTTTATACTTAATTTGGACAGAATGACTTAATGGGTAATGGCTTATGGCATCAAAATCCGGCTTAATGTGTTAAGACATGAACCCTTTACCTATTTGGTTTTCCAACTTCTCTTATGTTAGAATTGATGAAATTTTTTAAAACTTAAAATAGATGAATATGTGATATTTTTATAAAATGTACTCATTTAGTCTCATTCAAACATTTAATTCAGTCTAGAAAAAAAAAAACAAGCCTTATGTATACATCACTTTATCCATACATAAATCATTACAAATGCATCCAATTTACCCCCCCCCCCCCCCCCAACACACACACATTACTTGATGAAAAACAAACAAACAAACGATCTTGGACACATTTCTTATTCTGAAGATTTAGTGATTGATATGTAAAAGTTTCTTTTGAAAGAGAAACAAAACCCACATATTTTGGGTAACTATTTATTTATATTTTTTTGTATTACAATAGGTTTGTATCTTTTTGATGTTATGTCGATTTATATGTTATGAATACTTTATCAAATAATATATATTATATGAGTTTATAATTGGGGTTTTTATTGAAAAATGTATATTAGGATAAAGGACGAAAGTACTGTTGGATTATTCGAAGACAACATATTCCACAAGTTTTATAGATGACTGATGAGTGATGACTCTCATTTGTCATGACTTTAATTTCTATTTTTATTTATTTTTCAAAAATGACAATATTTCGGTATTTCCTATAATATAACACTTTCTTTCTTTATTTATTAGATTAATTTCAACTAGTTCTTCAAATTATATTATGATAAATTACAAATATAGCCAAAATTCTTAATAAATTAACCAAAAAAAAATCATATTTTTCAAAAATAGCCAACGACTTTACATGTAGATTTGGGCTGTTATGAAATCATTCCCACCTGTGATCTCACAAAATTGGCTATGAATTCGGCCCATTTTCGGTTCACATCTAGCCTAATAACGTTCACGTATAGGTATAAAAATCAAGATTTTTTATTTATTTATGAAATTACATATGGCTAAGAGCCACCCGTGATTTCCTCTGCCTTGACCTGTGCTTTTGGAGTTTTTCTTTAATATATTTTCCCAAATAAAAGGTTTTTAGTTTGATTATGATTTTGTACATTTTACTACGATTTGGGACATGGTTTACTATGATTATGTACATTGTTATTAGTCTATATATAAAACTATGTGAAACCCGCGTGTTGCGTAGAAATAAAACTATGGTGATTAAAATTATGACAAATATATTACGCTAACTAAAATAATATAATTATATTATTGATACATATATGGTATTATAAATATATATATCATTATTATTAATTTTGAGTTAATGATTTTTTATACTAATCATTTCATGAAATTCTTTGTTACTGATATTTAGTTATTATTTATATGTTATTAATGTCATCTGTCACTTCCTAGCAAACATTTTGATTATTTTGGATGTTAGTTTTGTTGATAAATTATAACACAACAACAAAAGATAAGTTTCAAGAGAAAATTAAAAAATTAAGAAACAATATTAAAATGACAAACAACAGAATAAACTTTAATAAAAACAACAAACGATAACTTCTAGTTAGAAATTAGATAATTAAGAAATAATATTAAAATGACAAACAAAAGCATAAACTCTAATAATATAAAATAATATGTAAAAAAAAGTTTAACATGAAGAAAGAAAATAGAAACAAATACATAATAATAATCTATTTGACGAAAATTCATATCAAACAACAATATTGCTCCAGTTTTATCTCATGAAGTAGAAATTTTTGTATTCTTAACTATTTTTCCCCCGGTCTTAATCTTAAAATCCTAACAATCTAATTTACATTCATGAACTATATATATACTCAAAATCAACCAATTAATATACCATAAGTTACAAAAAATCTTAAGTTATAATAGTTAATTAGTTGAAATATAAAGAGTTTCATTATTAAAATATTATTTAATACAATTATAAAAAGCCTTTGATTACAATCATTATTAAAAGGAAATTGAAGAATCATTGGAGTTTCAAATGTATGAAAATCAAATATTTTGGGCTCCATTAAAATAATAATTGTAAAAATTTTAAAATTTTATAATATGTTCGAATTAACTTTTCTAACCATGTTTTTTGGTCACTATATATATAATCTTAATTAATGAAATAAAAGTTATATTATACATTTGTAAACCTAATTTAGGAAACAATAAAAAAATTATTAGTTTTTTTCTTAGTATATAATAAAATCCAAACTCAACTTAAACTTTTTGTTTTATAATATTATACATTATAATTGTTTTTTATGATATCTAATTTACTTGAAATATTTTTAAAAAAAACTTTCTTTTTATCAAACAAAATGCAAAAATTGTCTCGGTGGTTTGCTAACTTTTTTTTTGTTTGCTGTCTAGCGGGTTTCAAAATTATCATTTTGGTATTTTGGCCTATTTTCGTTCATGTATTTTATCTTCCAAAATTTTTATTTTTATTTATTCTTTGTTTAACGGTGATTGTCATCATATAAAAAGAAATGGTAAATTACATGGATGGTCCCTGTGGTTTAGGGTAATCTGCATGTTTGGTCCCTAACAAATTTTTTTAACTCAGACCGTCTGAAAATGTCGGTCCAACTCTTATGTATTTATTCTATTTTTTTTAATTACTAAAAAAACAAAAAACACACTCACACAATAATCTTCAGACCCAGCAAAACTTTAAATGAAAATCAAATACACCCACCATCTCAAATAAATCTCTTCATTTAATCATCTGATTTTAAGAACCTAAACCTAGACCACATCACCGGTGATACCTCCGCCCTTTTTGCTACCCAACTTCGCCCCCTTTGCTGCCACATCGTCGACGGAGATTATGTTCACAACTATGGTCTCTCTCTCTCTATCTATCTATCTATCTATCTCTCTCTCTTACTTAGTTGTCAGAGCCCCAAAGAACACTAGATCAGTGGAACCCGACCACCGGTGGCATCATCATCACCGTCGATCGTGCATACAGGCCCGACCCAATACCTGGGCAAGTTGGGCTATGGCCCAGGGCAGCAAAAAAAAGAGGGCATAAATCTGGTCCATTAAGTAATAGAGTATATATTGATTTTGGGCCAAAGTCTAGTCCAATAAGTGGTTTGATACAACGTCCGCGTGCGTCTGGGAGGCAACATATCACAGTTAAGAGCGTGGGCGTTGAATCATCCAAAGCATCTTGAGAATAGCAATCGCCAAATCATATGAATGGTCTAGAAAAACACAAATGTATAGAGATCGAGGAGCCTTACTTGACTGAGTTACGTTTTCAATTTTCCATTCTGATCGATATCTATTTCATTCTCATTATAGTTTCTCTGCTTCTCTTTTAAACCTATTGCACGTATATTCTACATCCAATAATCGAAATTCCGATTTGTGTTACTTAAATGTTTGTGTCTTTGTGATTGTTGGATTTGGTTGCTGATAACCTTCTTGAGTTTTTGTATGCTAGGTTTGATTTTTTTTTCTAAATCAAACACAGTAAAACTGAAGATTTGTGAGGTTTTGGATTTGGATTCTTATTTCTCTTAATCTGATTCCTTTTTTCTTATTTCAATTTCCGATTTGCCTTTATTGTATTCTGATTTCGATTTCTTTTTCTAAAGCAAACACAGAAAACCTGAAGATTTGTGAGGTTTTCGTTTTGTGGATTGGGTGAGTTTTATTTGTAATTTTTTTTCTCATATTCTGATTCCGTTTTTTTCATTCCAAGTTCCGATTAATGTTAATTATATTCTGAATTCTATATATTGTTTTCTGAAGTAAACACACTCGATTTCTAGTCTGGTTGAGTTTGATTTCTAAATTCTTTTTTCTCTTATTCTGATTCCATTTTTCTCATTCCAATTTCAGATTAATGTTCGATGTGTTCTGAGTTCTATTTTATTTTTCTGAAGCTAATAGCGAAAATCTGAAGATTTGTGAGGTTTTTGATTTTCGGATTAGGTTAGTTTGATTTTTGGATTCTTATTTCTCGTATTTCTGATATCATTTTCTCATTCTTATTTCTGATTTATGTTCTTTTTTTTTGTTTCAGGAGTCATACCATATAATTTTGGGTGAGTTTGATTTTTGCAGAACAAGAAAAGGTTAATAATTAAAATGGATTCTTATTTCTGACTCTTAGATTCATTTTCGAGATCATTTGACATCTTGAAAGTGAAAACAAAAACATAAACTTTGGTTAGGTTGGATCTTTCTTTGCTTAGCTTTAATATCTATATTTCTTGAGTTTTTAATATGTTTCCTTGAAAAAACCATCAGGTGCTCAAAATTTAAAACGGAAAAAAAGAGAACACGAAGAGGCTAATCATGAGTCTAATCATATACAAGGTCTTTGAAGCCTGTGAAATCGAATATTTGAAGTATCATGACACAAGGGTTGTTTTTTTACAAAGTTTTGATTATTGTAAATAAAGAAATGATTTTGTTTCAAAAAATATATAGATAACTTTTAAATGATATTTGTAGGTTTTTATTTGTATTATTTATTTGATTATAAAATTTATTGTATCTTTCTTTTATAAATTTTTTATATATACATTTTGTTTATTTTACGGTACATTTATAAGGGCATAAAGTTATTATCTCGTCCCGGGTATCAAAAATCAATGGACCGGCCCTGCGTGCATACAACATCTGTAGCCCACCATCATCTCCCACGTTTTTGTTGGATTAGTGTCTAAGTCCATAACTATTTTGGTATCTACTTGACCCGATTATGAGCATGGTCCTTTTGGGTTGCCTTCAC